TAGTAGTAGTAGTAGTAGTGGTGTAGTAGTAGTAGTAGCAGTAGTAGTAGTAGTTGTAGAAATAGTAATAGTAATAGTAGTAGTCGTAGTCGTAGTAGTAGTAGTAGTAGTAGTAGTAGTAGTACTGGTACTGGTACTGGTACTGGTACTGGTAGTACTGGTAGTACTGGTAGTAGTAGCAGTAGTAGTACTGGTAGTAGTAGTAGTAGTAGTACTACTACTACTACTACTACTACTACTACTACTACTACTAGCAGCCGTCATCGTCGTAGTACTAACAACAAGCTGAATGTAGAAAAGTGAGATATGTCGCACCTACACTAAGCCCTGTCGTGACAACATGGGCTATCGAGGTATGCATACCAAAAATGCGTCAAGGGACACTATGACGCAGCGCTGCTACTTCTCCAGGCTTCTACGTTGGACTTTGGAAATAGGGTTGCAAATAGGATGCGGTATTCGGGTGCTTTAAGCTTGTCCTCCAGCATTTAAACCTGTAGTGTTTTGGCTGTCGGGCTTCGCGGGGGCACGAAATTACTTGCTTCGGGTTGCACATGCCACTCGTGAATTTCCTTCAGAACCTCAGGCTACGATCCAAGGTGTAGGGACTACAAAAGACAAGCATACAGCTACTGCTGCCGACTACCACTACAGCTGCTGCTACTACCACTACAATTACAACAGTACAACTTTGACGACCACGACCACCACCACCGCCCCCAACCAAACCCGAGCGCGACGCCTGCACCGCACCAGGAGGCAAAGCACAAGCAAAACAAGACCGTGCACATTGTAGTTTTTTTAATAGCTTGGTGCAAAACACAAGCAAAGGGGACCAGGGGACCATGCATCATGGGACCAGGGACCAGGGGACCAGGTGGCCAGACCTACAAAGACCGGGCCCCTAGGAAAAAAAACCCGGGACCCGAGCTCGACATAGCAAGCAAAAAGGTTCTACAAGCTCTGAATTTTCTCAGATCAGCGGCTCATGCATAGTCGCAAGCAGGTGCACTGCCTCCAAACTCAGGAGACGGCAGCGTTTTGGATTGTGGCTTCGGGTTCTGCGTTCTCTGTTACGGGGCGGACTGGAGGGATCGGATCTGTCAATATCACCACACAGCGTGTCAAAACGCATCACGGCACAAGCATCCACATCGGAACCAGCATCCATCAGCATCGCCGCAGTCATGAAGGACTTTCTGCCACGATTTAGGCTTTGGCCCTGCGAAGGTCGATGAATGCCTTTGATCCAACCTTGGACGGATAGAGTTTCTGGATCAAGGCATCACGCTAAAGTCGCACGGTCCTGAACTTTTCATGTGTTCGTAGCGCCTGTGCATCACATAGCAGCTTCAAAGGTGAGGCTCCTTACTATAACATTCCCAGACCATATCTTCCCAGACCCTGCTCGAACGAGAAAGGCCAGTTCCCGGCTGGATGCTGCAGATGTCCGACTTAAACGAACTACTGGCTTTAGTTCATGTGGCTATATATTATACTATATTAGACTATCTTATACTTATAGTATGCGCTGACTCGAAAACCAGCCACTACGATGGAGTACAAAGGATCGCCGTTCAGGACAACTTCGGGAAGACTTTGCTGAGCCAGAACCCTCGATCCATCTCAAACCACAATCTTTAACCACAAGCTTCCGAACCCGAAGCCCTGAACCTAGGCCCTAGAAAGACCCCGAACCCTACGCCCTTATCAATCCGATCGCTGTCAGCCCTATTGCCCTAAAACCAAAGCCCTGAACCCAAGGAACCTAAACCCTAAACCGTGAATACAGGCTTTTCGGCCTCGGACCAGCGTCTCCGCTTGCCGAAGGCATTGATGGCGCGGGAATAGTCCTTGGAAGGGGCACTCGGGTTTTTCTCCACGATTTAGGGTCTTGTTGGGATGGGATGTTGCTAAAGTCGGGAAGTTCGGGCCTTTAGGGCTTAGTCTTAGGGGCTTTGTAGTTTTGGGTCTCGGGTTTGAGGTTTCTGGGCTGCGGGTTCATCTGGGTTGACGGCTCAAGGGCTTAGTAGACTTCTAGCAGCTTTTAGACTCAGGTTTCTACGGGTTCAGCAGTATCGCCTGATCAGCCGTTCAAAGGTCGTCTGAGGTGCGATGCGGGCCGCTGCGTATTGAGGATGTAGAAGTGGGTTTTCGAAGCAAGACCGCCAATTTATATAGCATCTCCTTCATTCATGCTGGAAGATGCAACCGCCCTTCCGCCCGCAACTCGACATCTGTCATGCACCTGGACAGAAACTGGGCCGAAAAGCCAAACCCTAGAGCCCGCACTATCAAACCAGGCCCTGCACCCCGAAGCCTAAACCCTCAACCCTAGAGTCAGAGTAGACCCGAACCGGCCACAAGCCCTAAACCCCAAGGCGGTTTCAGGTTCGAGGTTTCGGATGAGGATTCAGGGCTTCGTGTTTAGGGCGTGCCCCAAACGAGAAAGAGGTGCTGCCCGGCAGCTTTGGTTGTGGCAAAGGCTTCCTGGCAGGTGCTTCGCTTCTGTTGGCCGGGGGCCCTCCCTGAATACTCACGGGCTCCCTGGAGGTAGTACAAGGGTACTATAAGGGCACCATAAGGGTAGTATAAGGAATTACCAGGGCAGTGGCAGGGTTCGGGGGTTTAGGGTTTAAGGCTCCCTATTTGGGACCTTCTTCAACAACAACGGTAGCCAAGGTCCTCATCAACTCTGCGATCAGGTTTGTCTGGTACTCTCAACTAAAGCGTTTGAGGTTTGTTAGGCCTTGTTATCCAGCAGCGCTTGTAACGCTTCCTCTTGTCGCGGTGGCGGGCAGCGCGGATCCTTGCCAAACGCAGTGTAGTTAGTGTGTTGGGGAGGAGTTTTCTGTAGCTGGCCTGACTTGGTTTGATTCGGCGAACAGCAGAAAGGCAACCCAAAGCTCAATCTCTCGATGATCTGCTTGGGGTCCCGGGACTCGAAGGTTTTGGAGTCACAGCCTTTCGGGTCTTCTCGGATTGGAAATTTCAGTTTTGTTTGCATGTTGAAGGCTGCAGCTTTTCCAGCTGGATGGCTTTGAGATTTGCTTCCTCATTCTGTTTTGGATCCTGCGGCCATAAGACTGCCCCAAGAGTCTGATCCTAGATGTCACACCAGAATATCCGTGACCCGACAAGAAACACAGGAATGTGTGACTTTCATACAGTACAGGTCCTGAAGCCTCTGCAGAGCCGCGAGGACCGGGCTCCAACCCTGCGTCGCAGGCGAGCTTGAAGGTTAGCTGAGATTTCAGGTCATAGAGTCGCTTCGAACTGTTGGAGTGATGGCATCGGATGGGTGCTTCCTCGGATTGGTTTGGTTTGTGGCTTATATGGGCTGATGGTTGCAGGGTGTAGGACATAGACGTTCAGGGCTTTGCGTTCAAGCCTTCTTGCTTCCTCACGACAGAAAACACTGCAGGCGCTCGCCGGTTGAGCGCTCGGTCAAGAGGCGGGCGTAGCGACACTTTCAAAGAGTGTCAATGGCGGCTATATACATGCAGCCACGTGACTGTTCATGACCATGGCAGTTTGTACGGTAACGGCGTAAGAGCAGTACATGCATGCATAGTGTCCATAAAGCCCAGATGTGGGTGTTGATGTGGACTTCGTGTGAGCTGTCAGACCGATGTACATAAATCGAGACGATTACACCAACCGTGCAATCCGAAGTACGCCAGGTCCTGAGAACCTGTTGGCGCAGACCCTGAATTCTAGTAGTTTTGTTTGGCAAAAGGACAACATGTTGGGGTTGAGACGGAACGCTCGCCCTCGAAGTAAACTTCTCCTGTTCGACTGAAAAGGCCGATGATGGGCCCATAGCCTCCTGGAGTCGAGCCTTGCTGACCTGTCGCGCCAGCCTCTGTATAGCCCAGGGTTCACATTGCTTGGTCTTGCTGTTTGGGTGTTCTCTTGGACGATAGGGTTTGTTTGTAGGATTGCTAGTGTCTTAAGGCTATTGATCCGCGGTGACTGGCAGGAAACTCGAAAAATTGACTGGAGCCCAGCATGCTGGCTTGGTGCTCGAAGTTGCGCACTTACTTCCGAAGTTCAAGAAAAGAGCTTTAGCTTTGCAGCTGAGGGGTTGCAGGATTTGTCGATGTCGACCGGCTCGCAGATGCGGGATTTGTCCAGCTTCATTGGGTTCAACTCGGGTTTAGAGGTTTAGGGTTTAGGCATGTTTAGTGTTTAGGGTGGGCTTCATAGTCCGAGATTTGGAATGCCGGCAATCGAGGTTCGTGCCCTCCCAGGAAGACGGGGCTCTACAGAGGCTTGCCACACCTACCGCAAAGGGCTGCAAAGGGGAAGTGACAAAGCCCGAAAGGCGCCACTCATTAATCACGCCTGATCCTACACTGTCTGCGACTGTTAAAAACAGTTGAGTTCAGACAGGGGCGACAAGTCCGTTTCAAGGACTCAAGACCTGCACATGCAAACGAACTTCAGAGCACTGACATTGAAGCCTCCGTTACGTGGCACCCAAAGGACCTTCAGTAGTGACCACCCAGCAGAAGGCACCTGCTTCCAACCATGCCGCCGCAGATCTCGACATGCTCTCAAAAGTTTCGGGGATGGTTTCTTCATGTACCAGTAGGGTGAATGGGTGACACATGTGACACGTGGGACTGCGGAGAAGGAGAGGATACACCTGAACACCCTACCTGTGGACCTTCAGCTGTAGTTCAACCCGATACTAGTGCGGGGAGTGTTGGTGTCATGGCGGTCCTTTGTTGCATGAGCTTGAAGCCTGCGATCTGTGTTCCTATCTACCGCAAGCTTGAGAATGCGAGAAAGTTCCTGAGTTGTCGTCGGCTTGGGGTGCAGGGTTTGTTGTGACAAACAGGTTGCACGCGTTTTGCGTGGCCCTAGCTGCTGAGTTACCTGGCCCGGCACAAGCGAACATTTGATTCAGATGGGGGTCGATCAACCAAACTCGGCTACTACCATTTCATGTTGAACTCGGGTTTGAGGGCTTTGTCTGGCTTCCTGAAAACTCGCGGACTCCTCAAGGTTCGCCCCACCTTGATGGAAAAAATAGACAAGCCTATAGTAATCGCTTAACCCATGTACAGTTACGTCGCATGTACCCCCCAATCCCTATTGAAATTATCAAGCCCTTGGTCAGCTGGAAATATACTGCCGGGCCAAAGGTCTTCAAGCACGTTGATTACCCCCTCATCATGGTAGACTAAACATGGGCATCGTCAGTGTAGGATCCTTAGGGGTACGCACGATTGTGGAGCTTACTTTTATGTCTTGAGTTTGGGGTTCAGAATTGAATGAGGGTAGGGTTTGGATGTCATGATGCCGCCTTCGCTGTGTATCGCTGGTTGTGGCTCTTGCTGCCCGCCCCGAGGAAGTGTCATCCGAACCCTACATGTTCCAATGCTAGAAGAGACCGGGCAAGATGAAATGGCCATGGGTTGAATGGAGTGTGTTGGGCTAGGGGTAATAAGCGTAAGGGCGCGTGTACGAGTAAAGCCAGGAAGGCTGTCAATTCAGAGAGCTCCCTCTTTCATCTGGCACGCCAAGTGCCAAAGAATGCGCCAACCAATACGATGCCTGAGGCACGTGAAACGTGGATGCTGCAAGCAGCCTCCAACACTTTGGCTTTGCAAAAGCCCTGTGTACGAAGAACTCTGCATTGAGGCGAGGTCAGGTCTTTGAGCAGCAATACAGAAAAAACCCTAAGTGTCATTCTCTGGGAGTCTCTGGACATGACATGACGTTGGGAAGTGTGCTCGGATCGTCATACGATAAGAGCATTGCGAGTTTTTTGCATGCACATGAGCTGCGGATCTGAACAACATGAGGGGGAAATCGGAGTTGAAATCCAATTTCTGCTGTTGTGCCGGGGAAGATTAGGAGCGAGCATACTGTTAAGAATCTAGGTCAGGAGGCAGCTCAACTATTGGGATTTCTCATACACCCCGACTTGAAGTATCCGTGTCCCCAAAGAAGCCAACTCTACTTTGTACAAGAGACGCCTTCAACCACGCATACTCTGTCAAAAGCGTCATGTTAAAACAGATCAACAGCTATGAAACCCCACGGCTCAGCGGCGGCTCATGATAAACATGCCGCCGCTGGCAACGAGGAGCCTCGGTCACAGGTTCGGCGATGTCAAGATGAGGATGCAACTGAACACAATAAACGATCTCTGAAGCCATGCAAAGAACAAACAAACCGCAGTACAATAAGTCTTCACAGCATACAAGGTTGCTACACTATAAACCTGTAGGGCGGGACGATCACTATACTAAACACAATTGGTGCCATCGCCATGTCCTGCACCTTCAATATCTTCAATGAACGGTAAATCATGTAACAAAGCCCTCAATCCTAAAAGCCTCGACAAGCCAGAAGTCTCAACAAAACACAAGAAGCCCCCTTTCAGCTTCAGGTCGTGCGGTTCCGGAGAACCACACCGTAAACCCTAAACCCAACCCTTCCTCCAACGCCTTCAACCCTAAAGCCCCAAAGTCTGAAGATCCATGAAGTTTTTAGGGCTTTAGGTTTTAGGGTTTAGGGTTTAGGGTTTAGGACTTAGGGTTTGAGAGCCGAAGTGGCAGCACACCGTCCGCATAGAAAGCACTGCCCAGGCCGAAGGCCTCTGCGATTTTTGTTGTAATCAGCTAATGCGACGTATTACTATAATTCGTACTGTTTTTTTTTTTCCCCTTGTTCTTGTTATTTCTATTGCTATCTATGGCTGTTATTATTACTGTTTCTTTTGCTGTTTTTGTTGTTGTTACTTCTGTTTTATGACTAATACTTTGATGGTCGCAGGGATAAGCTTGGGTTGGGCGTCGTGCTTGCAAAGCTGACGGGCAGAGGTCCGCGGGTGTGTAGTTGTTCATACATACGTACGTGCATGTACACGCAGCATATTTGCACACATGCTGCGTACATGTATGTATGGATGTATGTATGTATGTATGTATGTATGCATGTATGTATGAGTGTATGTATGTATGTATGTATGTATGTATGTATGTATGTGTGTATGTAACAAGTAAGTATACAGACGTAAGTGAGTAAGTAAGTATGTATGTATATATGTATACATGTATGCATATGTATGGAATGCAAAGGAATGGAATGGTATGGGATGGTGTGGTAATTCGTATGGTATGTGTGTACGTATGTGTGTATGACATTTATACATACGTGCTGTCTGTGCGTCTCACACATGAAGTCGCTCAGTGCTCACCAATCAGCGCGTTAAGCGGACAGCTGGATGGTCAAACCGCCGCGCACGGTTTCTCATCTTTATGTGCTTCACGGTTTGTCATGCCGGCTGAACTAGACGTATGACATGGGAATAGCCCTTTCTGCCTCTTACGTCATATGGGAAGTAATCAAACCTGTTGCATTATAGGGGAAGTAATTAATCAAACTCTGTAGTCATCGCAACTTAACTCTTGCCGAACCGCTGCAATCACATACCTCAACGATACACCCATAATTGCAGGCTCACCTTACAAGACAGTACGACATCTGCATCTGAGCATGGCCAATGGAAATGCATTTCTCCAAGCATGCAGGCACACTTGAATTGCACAGCGATACAGCAGTTCTCCGTACAGGGTTCTTGACACAGACAACCGGGATTTGCTTTTCTCTTGGAGATTCCGGAGAAGCTCTGCAACACACACTAAGAGCCCCAACAAAACCAGGAACATCGCAGACTCCGAAAAGACACCAAAGAGGGGAAGCTGGAAGTCTAAAGCTCTTCAACCCAGCTCCCGAGTCCAGTAGAAAGCCCCCGATCACTGAGAGCTCACGGTCTGCAACTCTGAGAATCATGCAGGGGCACAATCATAAGACTACTATCTCACGCACATCATGAAAAGTGGGTTCCATTCTGTCGGGAACTTTGCTTATGGCACGAGGTGCTTCGGGCAAGCGGTTGACCTGTGATGCTGGCAGCGTCATCTGCCGTAGTGTTGGGTCGACACTGTTACCCTGATATGCTCTACTACTGAGGCATCTGTAGTGCAGAGTCATGATCCTGGCAAAGCTGACCTCGGCAAGTACAGATGAAGTGAAGGAGGAGAAAAGCATTCCTCCGGTCGCTGAGGCATGGGGGTCGGGGGGTTGGCCTCGAGGCTGTTGATTCCTGCAATACTCTTAACCCTAAACCCTAAACCCTAAACCCTAAACCCTAAACCCTAAGGGGCCCATCCACGGTTTGTACCTTTTACACACGACATAACAACCGAGGTCCCCCAGTCCCGAGACTCCCCCGAACTAGGACTTGGGCTCGGGGACTTCGCAGCCATGTCTGAAAGGGGGCTGATGAAGCTTCCAAAACCCTAAACCCTAAACCCTAAACCCTAAACCCTAAACCCTAAACAGGATTGACGGTTTTGGCTGCCGGCTCAAGGTTCGGAGGCCCAGGGTTCGGGGTTCCGATTCAGGGTTACTTTAGGGTTTAGGGTTTAGGGTTTAGGGTTTGTATCCAAACTGCTCTCTACATCTGACTTCGAGAATACAAGGGTACATGGATTACAAACACAAGGGCACGAGCTCCAAAACCTGTACGAAGAAAGCCGTTTGAGCGAGAGCCCGACACTGCTATGAATTGGTTGAAGGATCGAAGTTCCTAATCTTGTCTCTCTGAAATGAACTATTGCTTATCTGTCTCTCTGAGTTTGAATTTGGGTTTAAGGTTTAGGGCTTGAGGTTCTGCACTGTTACATCACCTGCGCATAAGCTGAACTCGTGCTTTCTAAGCTTGGAACAGCTGCTGCATCCGAAAACGAAAGTTCCTTCATGACGAACTCCGAAAATAAGTGTATATATCATATATCTATATACATGTTTATATATACACACATACTCACGAATAGTATATAAACGCCCTGATGATAGGGTCATGGGGCCAATCCAGGCTTAGCCAGCTGAAGATCGTTCGTCGGGGATGGGGAAAGGTTGCCAGCTTAAGGCTCCTGGTATGGATGAACTCGGAACCGAAAGTCACAAAACGTCCTGTGTCGCCGAAGGTATTCCACAGACTTGGCACCTTTGCGCGGTCTTTAACCTCGGGACGGAGGGTTTAGCTGAACTCGGGAAGGACGCCCTACAAACGTGACCCATAATACCAAAACCTAGCTGTTGAGTCTGCTTCAAGGGATTCGGGCTTTCCCAGTGGGGCCATGGCCATGGGGGCTTAAACAAAAGTCTGCAGCAGAACCCGAACTTCAGAGAAGGGGCCGGCGCCAGGTCCATTGCATGCATCTGTGCCTGCGGTTAAGGTCTCGCCAATCAGAACTTCATGAGTCGGCAACAGCAGTTCTGGGGCATCGATGGCGTTTGCTTGACCTCATGGAGAATTTTGCAGATTTGAGCTGAGGTCTCGGGTCTTTTGTGCGCAAGACCTTTTAAAGCTTTCAGGCTTGGGACTAGGCTGCAAGCGGGTTCCAACTGCAGAGTTGAAGGGGATACAACCTGCATCGCCTTCTCAGGAAACGAGGATGCAAAACGCACGCTCGACTTTACGTGTTATGGGTCCTCCCAAATCTAGACTCACATGCAATCCTTCGAAACCTGCACCCGCGGGCTATTTAAGACTGTGAGGGGCAATTTCTGGCACCTTCGTAAATCCCAAATCCGCACATCTGTCACGGCTTTCGGCTGTAAGCTGGTTTTCGTCTTAACTCCTTCATTTGATGTCACCAGGTTTGCCGTTCGCCCCGAGCCCCCACCTGCGCACACATGCAGGCGCCCACTTGCATCGCTGCAAGCACGGGCAGCCTCAAGCTGTAAGAAGCACAGGACAAAAAGTCCAGGGTTTATGGTTTCAGGGTTCCAGGTTTTCGGAAGACACAGAGGCCCTGCACTCTTTTCGCTCCTCTGACCAGGTTTTCTTCAGGAAGTGGTCGAGTTCTTCTTTTGCCCTCCAGCTTACGATTTCTGGCATGGGGGTACTGTGGTAGCACAGACTGAACCCCCAAACCTTGATGTCCCCAAAACCCTTTGCTGCGAGACTATGCCCTCACATCTTACTATACAAAGGCTCCGCTGAAGGTATGGGAAACTTCGGGGAATCATCCCACATCCATCAATGTCAGCCTGTGTCGGACACATGCATCGAGAACTCAAGGACTGCCGATGATGGCTTCACCTCAAACCGGAAAGTTTGGCCGCGGTGCAACTCCAGCAAGGAAGAGACGTGTGGGACGAGAATCAATCCGGCACCGTACCTCGGTTACGGCTCTTGGGGCGCCAAGTCGGAAGCCTCGGCCGAAACCTTTTCTAAAGCCGAAGACTTAGTTGTTGAAAACTCGCGAGAGTTCGGACCATTGCTTGACATGCTTGCCCATTTCTACTAGATCCCTGAGAGGAACCTGGCACTTTGAAGTGCCTGGAACGCAACACATTGGGAGCTCCTTTCACTACACCGCCATTGAGGCTTTGAAAAATGGCCGTGGAAAGCCCTCTTATTTATTCGTCGGGCAAACGATGCGACAATAGCGCTGGATGGCTTGTAGCTACGCCTTACCAAGCCTGAGCCTGACACTCCACGTGACCACCCTAAGAGACTTGCTTAAGTGATTTGACTGGAATAGGGTGTATCGTAGAGTACAGCTATATAGTATGGGATTCCACTACTGCCTGACTACCAATGCAGCTCGCAACATCAGCAAGCGCGCATTCTGGACAGAACCGATCTCTAGCCCTCAATCCAGGAAGCTCCGACCTCATCTTGCAAGAAAGTAGCACGATGGCTCCCGGTAAGACCACAGCCATCTTGCCAAGGTGATCTGCCTCGGAGGCCGCCAAAATTTATTAAACACGGCCAGGTTTGGTCCAAGGTTCGGGTGCTTCTACAGGGTTATGGGTTCTGGGGAGGGTTTTTGCGTGTACCGGATGAGGGTTAGGGGCATCGCGTTTTCGGCTTCCAAAGCGGGGTTGATTATTTGGGCGGCTTTGCAGCTTCAAAGGGCTTTACGCTTGTAATATTTCGAAGGTTTAGCTTAAAGGTCCAACGTCTAGGGTGTGCAGGCTTTATGTCGCCGACGGAGTTTAGGATGTACCAGTCCTTTCGTAACGTATGTCTCCCAAAAAGCAGCAACTCATGACATCGAAAAGTACAGCCGGTGTCAGTGTCTCTGCGAACGGGCTTCAAAGTACAACTCTTTGGTTTGGCGTGGGTGCGTAGGGCCAGCCTAAGCCCTAAACCGAAAGGCCGAAGCACTAAACTAACCCTTTGTTTTTGCTTCGCGAGTCAGGCTGGGAGCAAAAGGAAATAAAGGGGGAATGGATGCTTGTGATAGTCCCGTAATGGTCCCTTCTAGTAGTCTCTGTAACCCAGTCCCCCATTCGCAAATCAGGGAGTGTAGGGCCTTCAAGGAAAGCAAAAGCGATGCTCGTTCAGACGAGTCCAAGGCACACTTCGTGCAACCACCGGCGTCACAGCCAGGCTGATCTGAGTCGCAGAGACGAGTAGGGTTCAGCGGGATTTCAACGTCCGGCTTCAACGCTTCAGGGTTTCGGGTTCATATTGGAAACATTGGGTTTATGGTTCAGCATTGCGCTTCAATCGACATGTTATACTATGTTTTAATGAACTATCTTGCAGTATATTGCATTATCTTATCGTGTCATACCTCATATTATCTTACACTGTATTACAGCATCCTATACTATATTATACTCTACTATATTATACTATATTATA